TGTGCGCACGTGCTGTGTGTGTGTGATGTGTGTGGTGTGCACGTGCTGTGTGTGTGTGTTTCACTTTCCCCAGGGTCCTGCTGCGAGTGCGAATGCTGTACTACCTAAAGCAGGAAGTGATCGGTGACCAGTCTGACAGCGTCCTGAATGGAGCAGATATCAAGTACGTCTCCGTAAGGCACACGGTTGGTGCATTCCCTGCTCCCTCCCCTCTCCCAGTCTGACAGTATCGAATCCGTCTCACAGCATTCCCTGTCCCTACCCCTCCGCGGGAACCAGACACCCCTCGAAGGGGAAACAACACTCCCCTATCTCGCCCTGTAACTTCTCCTCCAATTGTTCACAGGAATTCAACACCCAGTCAGAGATTCTCACTTCGCATGAATTTTTAAAACAAAATGTGGGCCGAGCCCACCTCTGATCGCCTCGTCCCTAGTTGCCCCCTTCCCCTTGAGAAGGCGGGGGTGAGCTGCCTTCTTGAGCCGCTGCAGACCATGTGCTGTAGGGTAAGACCCACAGCCTCCCTTAGGGAGGGAATTCCAGGGATTCAGACCCGGCCGCACTGAGGGAACGGCCGATATATTTCCAAGTCGGGATGGAGAGTGGCTCAGAGTGGCTGTGCTGGTGTTCCCATGTACCTGCTGCCCCTTGTCCTTCTGGATGGAAGTGGCCGTGGGGGTTTGGAAGGTGCTGTCTAAGGAGCGTCGGTGAGTTTCTGCAGGGCATCTTGTAGATGGTACACACTGCTGCGGCTGAGCGTCGGTGGTAACAGACCGTGAATGCTTGCCTGTCGCCATCACCACCAGCATCTGAACTCAGTCTGACATCTACCACCTTCACTCCCTCTCTCCTTTCTTTCCTCTCTCCCTCCACCTCTCAATTGTGCTCCCTCATTCTCTGTCTGCCTCCCTCCATCTCCTGTTCTCTGCCACACATGTTCTCTCTCTCTCCCTCCCTCGCTTCCTCTCTTTCTCTCTCACTCTCTCTTCCCCCCACCATATCGCAGTGATATTGATGTGTGGATCCCAGAGGTGGACACGATGGAAGTGCCTGCTGATTGGTGGGATGAAGACGCTGATAAGTCGCTGCTGGTTGGAGTCTTCAAGCACGGTGAGTAGCTGCTGGAGATATCGGCACACGCTGAGCTACTAGGGCTGTTCCCGGGAACAGGACTACACAAAACACGGTTATCACACTGTCGGAGGGTCAGCGCTGCACTGTCGGTGGGTCAGCGCCGAGGGGGCGGGGCACTGTCGGAGGGTCAGCGCTGAGGGAGCGGGCCCTTTCAGAGGGTCACGGCGGGGGGGCGGGGCGCTGTCGGAGGGTCAGCGCCGAGGGAGCGGGGCACTGTCGGAGGGTCAGCGCCGAGGGAGCGGGGCACTGTCGGAGGGTCGGCGCCAAGGGAGTATTTCATTTCTCTCTGTGGAACACTGAGAGATGTTGGTGGTTGGTGTGGGAGAGCTGATTTGATGACGTGTTGTGTACTCCCCTTGCCCTCGCAGGTTATGAGAAATATAACACGATCCGTGCAGACCCTGCTCTCTGTTTCCTGGAGCAGGTCGGGCGGCCGGATGAGAAGGCCATCGCAGCCGAACAGAGAGGGACCGATAACTTCGGTGACATCGGTGACAGGTAGGTCATACCGTCCCTTCGTCACTGTGTGCGCGCGTCTGCGTGTGTGTGTGTGTGTCCGTGTCCATGTCTGTCACTGATGGCTCAGCTCCCGGTGAGAGTCGATGTTGCTCACCCTGACGGTCTCTCTCTCTCTCTCTTCCAGCGGGGATTTTGAGCGGGATCTAGAGGACCCAGAGTACAAGCCCCTCATCCTGGGGAGAGAACAGCGTGACGATGACGTGAGTGATTTCCGGGATCCGAACAGATAGCTGCTGACAGACTGTGCGCGGGGAGGTGTGGGAGCTGAGGGTTATTATGTCTTTATCACCCCAGGCAGTGCGAGTGGATTTTGCTGTCCCGAAACAGAACCCACTCCCTGATGATTCGGAATCTTTTTTAATAAAACACTTCAGTTTGTGACAAGAAAACGGAAATGTTTAATCCTCTCAGTAATGGAAAACACGCACCCACGGCTCAGTTAAAGGCAAGGGAACAGATCTCACTTTGCAGAGATGACCTTTACAGTGGAAAGTTCCACCGAGAGAGGGAAAGAGGCCTGAGACACCCTGTGTGTGCCCCCACCTCCCCGTTCTGCCGGTGATGAGTCGCCATGCTAATACCGATGCACCAGCCTGTGTTCTGTCACCTGGCTCTGGGTGGAAATGAGTTAACCTCAACTTCTCGACACAGTGTGTGTGGAGGCCTGAGGCTTGAACAGGCGGAGGTGGAAGAGAAACGGGCAGAGAACCCGGCCACCCTGCTCCTGTAGGGTGTGGCACTGACCCCTCCCCAACCAAACCCCTTTCTCCCGTAATGCTGCGCGTTCATGTCAGCGTCCAGATCGATCTCTCTCCGCGTTAGCCTGGAACGGACGCCTCTCGTTTTCACTGTGTGTCGTTACGATGTTTATTCTGTGTCCAGGGCGATGTAATGGTGCTGGATGAGGACATTTCAGTGGACGGTGATGATGGTGAGATGCAAAAAGATGTCTTGATGGGTGAGGCTGTCTGTGGTTCTCCGTCTGCGCGCTCTCTCTCCCCCATAGCCCTGTCTCCATCCTCAAAACTAATCCCACTGCCCCACTCTCTCCCCATAGCACTGTCTCAATCCCCAAACTAATCCCACTGCCCCGCTCTCTCCCC